CTGCCCTGCCACGCAGGCAGAAAGCCAGCTCTGGATTTACAACCAGTGTGTCAGAAGAAGTACAGGCTGGAAGTGCCAAGGAGGGAGTGCAATTCCGTGGGGAATGCCTGCTGTCTGTGCAAAAGGTTCCAGGATCCCTTCCTGGCATCTCTAGTAGACAGGATCTTGGGCTGCAGGGCCAGGAGAGACCCTTGAAGCTAGAGGGGGGATCATTTGACTTTAAAAGAATGATAAACTGAAAATATAGTTTTGCCAGGCAGTAGACAGCAGTGTGTGTGGGCATGTGTATGTGTGTCAAAAATGCTTACCAAGATTTTTCATGTGTTGGGTTCATATGGCTTCTTGAATAATGGAAAGGCATGATCAGGCGTGTAACACATTTGCGCAATTTACTGTTTTACATCATTCAGTTGGGTTTCGCTTGTCATTGGCAGCTTCAAGGAACTTTGCCCCCTGCCCATAAAAAGCCCATTCAGCCACCATTGAGGTTTTCATAGAATCATAGAGTTCTAGAATTGTAGAGTTGGAAGGGACCCTGAGGGTCATCTATTCCAAACCCCTGCAAGGCAGGAATCTCAGCTAAAGCATCCATGGTGGATGGCCAGCCAACCTCTGCTCAAAAACCTCCAAGGAAAGAGAGCCCAGCACCTCCCAAGGGAGTCCGTCCCACTGTCAGTCAGCTCTTACTGTTCTTTCTGATGTTTCCTGATGGAAGTTCTTCCTGGTGTTTGCTCCCCCCTCCACTGCCTATGCACTTTTGAGCCTCTTTCCATCAACCTGCAGCCCTCCCAACATCGTTGTGGGACTCTGGCACTGATCAGCTCCAACCAGCATGACCAATGGTCAGGGAGCTGCTGCAGTCCATCATGCATGGGGTGGGGGCACAGGCTCCCCGACCAAGGAAGGAAAGAAGGTGAGATTCGGCAGGGAGTTAGGGGCAATCTTGCCACCACCCCATCAACAGACATTATATTGGAAGGCAATTGGGCAATTTCAGAGCACACAAAATTGAGCTGTATCCAACTATTTTCTACTCTGATTAGACCCATTTAAATGAATGGACATGAGGCCCAGTGCTTTTTTCCTAAAAAAATAGCTGCCGGTACTCACCATGAAGTTAATACAGTAATTGTCACACTTTTTGACAAACAAGAGGTGCTGGTACTGCATACCTTGAGTAACCCCTTAAAAAAAACACTGGACATGACTAATTTGGGAAAATTAATTTCAGTGGATGTACTCTGGGTAGAACTTAGATGGATACAAGCCATTCTCCAAAGGTTTTGGAGGAGGGTTATTCAAGGCAGTGGTCAACTCTTCTTTGATTTTAATAAAGGACCTGTAGCCACCATCTGGGCATGGAATTATAGAATTGTAGAGCTTGAAAGGACCACAAGAGTCATCTGGTCAGTCTCTCTCTCTCTCTCTCTCTCTCTCTCTCTCTCTCTCTCTCTAAAAAAGTCTCATTCTGGGACACTCTAGGTTTTTTAAACTGCCTGTAGGTTTGGAGCTAGAATAGAGTTAAAGGTGGAGAGGATTCAAACATCCCCTGTGAACCTTGGAATACCTTGTGCTCCTTGTGCCCTCTTGAGAGGGACCAAATTTCCCTGAGTTTTGAGCTGGAATTTCTTGCCTGAGACCTTACTGCTCAGTGCTCCTTTCCTTGTGGGGTCCAGCTTCTCTGGCCCACTTTCCACCTGAGTCATTTCACCCTCCAAATACCTCTCTCCACAATGGTTTGCCTGCTGGGCTACCCTTGGCTAGTCTTCTGTGTACAAAGCAAGGGTCCATCAGCAGCTCTGCCTCTCTGCCCTCAAAATTCCCCCTTCAGCCTTGCTCTGCTCTAGCAGGATGGATGGTGGTGGGTTCCTGGGTTGGCAGCAAAGGAAAGGTTGTCCCTTTGAACCTGGGGACCCCTTTGTCCCCTTTGGCCTGGGGACCCTTGCTAATGGCTGTTTGGGTACTGCCGCCTCAAGAAAGCACAAAATCAGGCTGCATTTTTCACATACTGTTTCTGATGTGAGGCTTAAATGCATGAAGCAGCTCTGTGGTTGCTTTTGAACAAGATGCCTTCCTGATTAAAAAAAAACAACAACTCATCAAAACCAACTTGGGTGTATATGCCGCTGAGCTGTTTAGAAATCTAATGGAAGTAGTGAAGGTTGAATTATCAGATCTTTGGGAAGAACGAGGGGAGGGGGCTGAAGGGCTAAGACCATCAATCTTTCATGGAGACAGGGGATAGAGCTGTTTGTATATTCCAATCCCATTGAGACTGGTTTTTTTGATAGATTACCTTCAGTGGCGCTCCTTTTTCTGCACACGTTAACTCGACAGCCGCTTTCAAGTTTGTTTTCAAAACGTTCTCAACATTCTTCCCACTGCTCGGCAATTCATTATTCATCTGAGGCTTGCGCAAGGGAGCATTGTTCAGAGATTTTGGAAATGCAGAATCTTAATAATGGCCCAATTAAATTGTGTGTTGAACACCTGCCCAGCAGTAGATAACGCTACCTTGATTAGAATAAGATATGCTGTAGGAGTCTCTGCAGCGAGGGTGCTGGAATGTGCTGGCGTCCTGGGAGAACAACACTGGCAGTCATGAATTAACAGCTTCGCTTCCCTTCTCCCACCCCCCCTCCTCTTGTTTCCCCCCTGCAGGCATCCAGAGCCCCCCATGCGAAGATGCAGCTACTGGAAACTGAGTTTTCACGGACAGTCCAAGAGCTGATCGACCTCCACCTTCTGCAGCAGGACAGCATCCCAGCCTTCCTCAGTGCTGTCACCCTCGACCTCTTCAGTCGCCAGACCGTGGCCTAGTCCTGCGTTGGCTGTTCTGTTTCTTCTCACCTAAGTTGAAATTTTCCAGTTTCTGCCTTTAATGGTTTCTCAAAGAAGGGGCCAAAGAGATCTCCCCACCCCACTCTTCTTACTCATATTGGATCTTGGTGGCCAATGATAGCTAGGGAATGGGGGACAACATCTACTCACCTTCCCCCCCCCCAAAAAAAGAGTACATGAGTACATTTATGAGGTTTCAGAGGGGTTATGGAGAGCCCCTGCTGGCTGGTAAAGACACCCAAGCCAGAGAGAATGATTGTCTGATTGCAGCCCAACTTGTTAGCTGGTAAAGGACAAATGCAAATAAGTGTCCTGTGATCCTTCAGGTTTCTTTAATATCCGAACCCCTGAGCACACGTCCTGCTCTGAGGCTGTCCTTTCTCCCCCTTTGGCCCCAAGGCTTCTCTGACAGTATCTGAAATCCAAGGACTGGGAGGGAATGCTTTGTGCTGATTTAGTCTGCAGTAGAAGATTGAGATTTTGACCTTTACCTTGTGCCGGATGAGTCCTCCTCACCTTCTGTTAATTGCTCTTCCTGTACCCTTTCGAGACAGGGGTTCTATGAATAAAGTGTCACTTTTATATCAACTGTGCAGTTTACATGGAAGCCTGCAGTTCTCACTTGCAACCTGACACTCGATTCTAGGGCTGTTTTGACAATGAGACCTGGATGCGCTCCAGAGTTTGGCTCCTCAAAGAATGAACACAGGTAACAGTGATGAATCAGAAGCAGAATTTTATTATGTCAAAAAAGGAAATTGGCTTATTATCTCAAAAGGAAATTGGCACATTTACTAAAAACATTAAACGCAATCAGCAAATAACACATCAATACTAGGCTGAGCTTGGGAGAATTAAAACCAGTACCAGAGTTATTGTTAGAAGCACTCCTAGGAACACATGCAAAAACCAGGAAAAATTGGATGAATGGGGTAGAGAGGAGATTTGACTGAGGGGGTAAAAGTGGTACTGGAGAGGGGAAAATGAGGGCTGATTGTAGCGGCATGTTTGTAGAAAGAGAATGAGGATGTCAAGTGAATAAGCAAGGTCTGGGTGGTGATTTTAAGGGGCTTTGGGAAAGATTTCAGGGCAATAATTAGAAGAAAGAAGTTGAAAGAGTTTGGGGCAAGATAAATAAAGAGAGCAGGTCTCCCCAAGAAAGAGGGAGCCTTGAAAGATGTTTGTGAAATGCCTTCTTCAAATGCATCTTATTCTGCTGTCCAGGCAAGATGAGGGAAAGTGATTAACACATATTCGGGGCTCTTCCAGCAAGAACCTCAAATCATGGAAAATTATTTGGTCAGTAATTGTGATTTGTGTGGAAGGAAAGAGTGACATTTTGGAGGCCTTTCCTTGGCTGAACTCCTCTAGAAGGTAGTCTGATGCTCTTTTGTTTATTTTTAAAATTTACAAATGAGAAGGAAGGAAGGAAGGGCAGAGATTTATCATGAAAGGAGGCAATGGATTTACCAGATGCTCTTGCAACTCAGCTTCCTCGGACATGTGAGCCTGCCCTCCTGTAATGGAGTCTCTCTTGAGGCCTCACCAGGCCAGAATCAAAACTTCCTTCTGCTGTGCAGGCCAGTGTAGCAAGAGCTGGATTTTTTTCAGGGGGCTTTGTAACCCACGGGTGCTCTACACGCCTTCATTTCCACGGTGCAGCTGCTGCTTCTCTTCTGCGGCATCACAGCTCTCGCTGTGATAAAGGATGATGGATGGCGGTGCTCAGGCTGATATTACCACACAAAGAGAAGGGCGCCTTGCTCACCAGCACACAGCAAGCCCATCATTTTTCTAGAGGCATCTTATTAGGGTCAGTTATGAAGCCAGCTCGTCCTGTTAACCTGCCAAGGTCTCTCCTGCCTGTCCTATTTGAAAATTCAGAGCAAAACAAAACATGGCCGTCGGCAAAATAATTGGAAGGTTGGCAATAGTTTGTTTACTTAAACATTTCTTCAATATTTTTCTAAAGATTATAATTCTGGTGTTGTTTGCAGTAGCCTATAAAGCAGCAGTAATAAAACACAGTTGATGACAGTGAAAAGTAGCGCTGAAAACAACTGCAGTCGGCAAAGGTAATACATCAAGTTAGTGGCTCCTATTGCATTCTGTCACAGCCAGGCCAAGGCTGTGGGTGGCCGTCCCCGTTGCCTAGAGTGGTACATGTGTTTTATTTCTTTTTAGCTACTGTGGATGTTAATCGGAATATTTTTAAATAGCTGCTTTTTAACACTTTTTATCAATAATTTCTGTGTTTTGTATTTTTAGAGGTTTCCTTACAATCAAGCGATATCGGAATTGTTAACGTAAGGTTGTAGGGTTCATTCTTCAGCCCAACGCCCCCTGTGCTATGGAACTAAGGAAGGCTTGAGCTGGAAGCTGTGGAAGCTGAACCGAGTGTGTTGCAGACAGAAAAATCCTGCTTTCAGGCAAAGGCAAGCCAGGATCCTAGTATCCATCCCAAGCCTGGCTGATCAGGGGCAGTTCACAGTCCTGCCAGCACAGACACTTCCTACTGCCTGCCAACCAGAGAGCTGGTGTTGCATAGTGTCGTTCCCTCCTGTGGATTGGGCCCTGAAGCCTGATCATCCACAGCCCCAGGTAGCTTAGCTTAGTATCCTGAGACCACAAGGTTCCTGGTTCACCTGCCGTGGCCTATTCTACTTGATGATGAGTTAGCTCCAAGCAAATTCATTTGTATTGCAAACCGGTGCTACAATCCTTTGTTTCCAATAAGGGAATCTGGAAAACTTAAGTTGGAGCTACCATTGCTGCTCTACTGTCCTCTTCTGAAATTGGCATGAAGAGCAGTTGCCATCGCAAGCACCACAGCATCGCCTGGAGCGTGGCTCTGGGGAGCCAGTGTAGCAATTTGTTTGGAACAATCGCCAACAGCAAAAGTTTCCTCCCCTCTCCCTCTTGGCTGCTCTGAGTGGCGGTGTGAAGATGGATTGCCTGGCATTCTGTGCCAGGGGAACACTTCCTGATTCGTATGCACAACGTGGCATCGAGAGCCGCCTTCATCAGTCATGGGGAAAATGAATCGTGACGTCAGCCACGCGCAGCTCCTCGGCCGACACAATGGCAGAGCCTCAGCTGCCTCTTGAAAAATCATTCTTCAGGCTTCTTACTGGAGAAATGAAGTAATTAATAAATTGACAATAAACCCACTATCTTGGCTAAGCAGAGGTGGGGGGCGGGCAGGCAAAAGCTGCCTTGGAAATTGACTGGGGGTGGGGGGAGCCTGCCCATCAGGCAGCAGATTCCCAAAATGTCCATTGATGATAAACTGAATTCAATAAATATAGAAATAGACCTTTTCCAGCTTTATGAGGAAAGCTGCTGGGGGGGGGCACATCAGTCTATATATATCAATCGCTTCCGAACGTTTTATCTAAAGACGAGGTGAGACTTTGAAAGGAGGGGGCTCAAAAGGGGGACTCTCCCCGCACACTCCCCACTTCAGATTACTGCCTAGAATCTTGACCAGGATCACTCCATGCTGCAACATTTTGTTGCACACCCTTTTCTTTAAAAGCCATCTTTATCTAGGTGCCACCGTCACCCCATGCCGCTCTGTTGCGGCTTACGCAGAGAAGAAGGTGGGAAGGTACCAGTTATTGCCAAGCTTAAATCTGCTCAGCTTGGTAAAGCAAGTTGAGCCTCACTCCCGGCAGCATCCTCTGTCAGCAAGCAGCAAGAACCTGTAGGGAGGAGGTAACCACAAATTGATCATTTAGGAGTGTCACATGTCTATTAGTCGCTTCCATCTCCAGAGGCATCAATTGCTGTAGAGAGTTGATTCAGTTTCTGCTCTGATGTGGTACCTACAGGTAGAGGCACCCTTATTTCTGCTTCCTTCCTGATCCCTTGCTCTGGGTATTTGAAAGACAGTGTCACATTTTGTGTTCCTTCTTAGAATGATCCTCTCCACGAAGGGGGTGGCAGGGGCTGGAAAGCCGTAGCTTCATCTCCAGACGACTAAAGCCTTCTTTTTATTCCCCCTTGCATATTTTTTCTATACCGAGAGGAGAGGGGATAGGGAGTAGGATGGGGGACAGATTGCAGAAAGCCTTTAATTCCTGCTTGTTTTGTACTTTTCATCTCTTCTTGGGGTCAGCACTGGGAGCAAATTTAATCCGGCAAAATGGCCAACCTTCCCCCCATGTTTAGGAGGAAGCTTCCTTTTGTAGCTTCTCTGCTGTGCCTGGATGAGTTTAAGAGCCAGGTTTTTTGCTACAGAAGTACACTCTGCTTATGGAGCTTAATGCCCATTTTCAGAGTCAGGCCACAACATGGTTTTGTAGACAGAGAAGCCACCCAAAGTGCTGGCTGATCCGCAAGTTGGGAGCCGGGGCCACAGATTAATTTAAGCCTCAGTTGCTTCCTGGAATCCATTTGGTGGAAGAGGAGGATAAGGGTCCACAGCAGCAAAGCTGAGCTCCAGAAAAAGCTGCCAGCTCAAATTAAATCCCTGACATGGGCTGCAGCACAGAGAGCAGAAGGTGGCAGATTCCAGGGATCTTGCTGAGTCTTCAAGCTGGAGTGAGTAGGTTTGGAAATAATGAGTTTTTAAGGAGCTGGTCCATTTGAATCTTGGCTTGACTCGTAGATCAGTCTGGCCCCTTCCAAACTGCTCAGTCCCTTTCCCAAAGTCTGCAGTCTTTCCTAATATTGTTTTAAATTGTTCTACACACCCTGTTTGACTGAGTGGCTTCTAGGTTCTTCTGAATAAAGATATAACATGAAATACATCTTGCTTCCATTGCTGGACTCTGTTAGAGCTGCTGGAGCCAGCACAAGACATTTTGCTGTCTGAGGCAGGATCGCAAATGAGCCCCTCCCCCCCAGACAGAAAATCCCATGTCTGGCTTTCCCAGGGAGTAAAAATATAACAAAGAACTCACAGTTGGCTGTTCTTTTGTGACACTCTGAACCAGCTGCCTTAAGGCAGCTGCCTCCCTTTGCCTAATGACCTGACCAGCCACAACAATTGTATGGCTTGGGCCCAGAATACCTGACCGGGTGCTAAGATCCTCAGATGAGCTCCTTCTCTCAGTCCCTTCAACATCAGAAGCACAGTTGGTGGTGACATGAGAGGGACCCTTTTCTGTGTTAAAACCGTGTTTATGGAAGACAATCTTACTTGGCTACGAGTGATCGCCAAAGAAGAATTGCGGAATTCCCTCCCAAGAGAGGTTAGAGACTAACTAAGACCTTCCTCTTCAGACAGGTCTTTGGAAAGTAAGGTGCAGGTGATGCTGATCGCGGGGCTACTCTCAGAGCAAACTGCATTTTGAATGCTGGTTCTAAATGTACTCTGATGTGTTTTATATAGTGTTTTTAACTAGTTTGCATTTTATAATGTTTTTACAACAGGGGCCAAATGCCCTCGATGGAAAATTTGTATCATTTTCCTGACTTATAATAAAAGGGGATAGGAATGATCCACAAAACTATCAGCCACTCAGCTTGTTAGACATCTCCTCAAAGTTATAAGCACGGCATCTCCTTCAAAATCTATCAGACTGGTTGCAAAGTAACAACATTATCCACGAGGAACAAGCAGGATTCAGAGGAGGACACAGTTCCATTGATCAGTATTTTGCTCTGAAAGAAAATATACTAAGAATATTAAGGATAATTCTTATGTGGCCTTTATTGATCGTTCAGCTGCTTTCGACTGTTAATTGGAATAGACTGTGGGAGACATTTCAAATTGCCAGCATTGACCGTAAACCTCTGCTGTTGATCCAAGAACCATACAGCAACACAGAAATGAGAGTCAGAGTAGGTTTAAATGGTGGTATGACTGATGCTTTAAAATGCCACGAGGAGCGAAGCAAGGTTGCATTCTGGCTCCCACTCTCTTTAACTTTTATATTAACGATTTGGTGTCATATTTTGCCAATGCAAACTCCCCCTCTGCAGCAATTAGGAGCAGAAATATCTCAATCTCGATGTAAGCAAACGATTCAGTGCTCCTCTCTCTCTCTCAATTGGGCCGCAAAAATCTGTTGGAGGTATTACTACCTACTGTAAACAGGAAAGCCTATCTATAAATTACTCTTAAGAACAAGATGGTGATTTTCAGCGGACACAGTCCTAGGATGGTGTTCGAATCAGCAGGCTGCTGAACAAACTTGCTCATTTAGATACCTGGCTGTACTCTTTAATGAAACCCTCTCTTGCAAGTGTCAAATGGAGGTGGTGAAACAGAAAACCATAGGGGCATTGATGAAGCTCTATTAAGATAAGGAAGGGCAGCTAATGAACCTTTGGTAGCAAAGTGCTTACTCAAATGCTCTGCGGCGTTGAAATCTGGAACTCAGATTCAAACTCCATTAAAGTTTTGGAAACTGTTCAGATTATTATTTTTCTGGAAGCTCTAACATCAGAAATATCAGCAGCTCCTCTTCGTACAGAATCTGGATGGCCAACAATTAAGGCAAGAGTGGACTGCGCTCAGTTAAAGTATATTTTAAAAATTGCTACTATGCCTATTGAAAGTTTTCCTGCTCTCTACTATATGGAATTGGATGATAGCCAACTCTGGAAAGCAGCTTGTCAAGATGTTTTAGACTGTTATTACCAGTATTTTCCAGAACTGAGCTCTGCTTTAACCTTGAATAAGTGTCAGCTAAGGGATTGGCTCTTCTGGCAGAATCCAGAAGGGACCTGCAACTAATTAGAAACACCAGATTTCTCCCTTGGTATCTACTCTTGAGAACAGAGCATTTTAGAGCTAGTTATCTGACCAACCAAACTTTCACCAGCTTCCTTAAGAAATGCCTTTATTAAATTGCACTTCTTTTTAAATAAGATTTAATTGAAGTTTTTTCATAATACAAGAAAAGAAAAGAAACTAATCTAAATAAAAAACTAAAAGGAGAGAAAGAGAAAAGGAAAACCAACGGGAAAATAAAGAAGAAGAGTTAAAAATAAAAATACTTCCAATTTTATGTCTGCCAGTTACTTAAAAGAAATTATTCAAAATATTCACTCTAGAATGACACTCAACTGACCTACTTTCTGTTAGGCAATATTTCCCCAATCTTTTGATCAAAACAGATTAATTCATTTTCCTTTTTACACAAAAAGTCCAAAAGGGGTTCTATTATTATTATTATTATTGTTATAACAGCAATATTTTTTTTCAAATGTATCAACTTTGTCTCCAATATCTTCAAGAACCATTTTTCCATACTAAACAATAATAAGTCTTTCCGATTTGTCCACATAACAGTATCTTTGCTGTTATCAAAATATATCAAAATAATATTCCATAAAAGGTAAAGGTACCCCTGCCCGTACGGGCCAGTCGTGTCCGACTCTAGGGTTGCGTGCTCATCTCGCTCTAGAGACTGTGAGCCGGCGCCGTCCGAAGATGCTTCCGGGTCACGTGGCCAGCGTGACGAAGCTGCAGCTGGTGAGCCAGCACCAGCGCAGCACACGGAAACACCGTTTACCTTCCTGCTATAAAGCGGTACCTATTTATCTACTTGCATTTAAGAGTGCTTTCGAACTGCTAGGTGGGCATGAGCTGGGACCGAACGACGGGAGCTCACCCCACCGCCGGGATTCGAACTGCCGACCATACGATCGGCAAGTCGTTTTACCCACAGCGCCACCCACGTCCCTAATATTCCATAGTTCCTTACTATGTATTCAGTAATTTGCATCCAGTTCCATATCTTCCATTTCCATTTCCTGTTGTATTTGCCATGGTTTTCCATCTTGATTTTGAAAAAATCATCTCTCCCATTGCGCTTCTTCCATTCTTTTTCCAGGAAAAGTGCCAGAGGTTTGATAGCTTTTTCCTCTAAAGCCACTCCAAATTCTACACAGTCCTTTCTGTTGAGTTGCATTTCCAAGTGATGCCTACTGCAGTTTTGGATGACTCCTACAACAAGGTCCTGTATACAGACAGACTTCGTATTTGTGGCAACTTCGGGTGGAAAACATTGCTCATTATCTGTTAACCTGCCCCATATATAGAGACCCAAGACATTGCTTTCTGAAACATTTGCTCACACAAGCAAACAGGCACACCCCAGCAGAAATGGTCCCATTTCTTTTGAGTGACAGTAATAGCTTCATAACATACAGAGTGGTCCTCTATGCACTGCCAAAAATAATCATCATAAAAAAGGAGTTAGATAAAATCGCTCTAAATTGCTACGATGATTTGGAGGTTTGATTTGAAATCAAACTGGATTTGAGTTCATTGGTGTCTTTGTGTCAGGGAGTGGCTGGACGAAGAGGAGTGGTGGGAGGCAGCAGTCTGCGAACCCCCAAGAGAAACCCCAGAGGTGGAAGGCTCAGAGGCAGGGGATTGGTGGTGGGACACTGAAGCCAGGTCAGAGAGAGAAGAGTGAAAGGAGGTCCTGGATTCTGAAGGGGCAACAGGACTGAGTGAGCAGGGAGAGCCTGTGACAGGGAGCAGTGCAGACTCAGAGACAGAAGCAGAGGAGCTGGGTCAAGAGACTGCTGAAGAATCCAGGAAGTTGCCCTCTCCTGCTGTGACAAGCTCCCCTCCTACCTGGTCTCCAAGAATGTGCAGAATAATGAGAAGTTCAGAGGTCAAAGGCACAGTTTGAGATTGCTAGATTAGAGGACCCTTTGAAAGGGTGAAAGGCAGGAACCTTCAGCACTGGCAACTGCTCCATAGAGGCAATGTGGGAATGTTCAGGGTGGCAGGAGAGAATATATTGTTTATTAATACCCTTCCTAACTTGCGCTTGCAAGTTCCTTTACTTAGCAGAGTGCATTCCCCCTTTAAACAGCAGAAAACCAGTTGCAAACTCGTGTGAGTTTCAGAAGACAGTACGCAATTCAATCTGGCTTGTCCACAGTCTTATTCATAAGCAATAAAAAGAAAGTTTACTCACGATCAGGCAAAGCACAGTATGATTCCTGAAGGCAGGCTTTAGGCTTAAAGTTACCAACGTATAAAAACAGGTTTACCCCATAAGGGAGATGACCTGAGGGACTGCTTGGCTGGCAGCCAGCAGTTCATTCCAGGAAGTTTGCAGGACGAAAGGAAGATGGAAAAAAGAGAGAGAGGCAGAATCCCATGTCCTTTTACCAGGTCTGGAAAGGTTACGCCCACCCACTAGTCACATGCAAGGAAGGATGCTCCAGGCCAGGAGGAACAGGAAGTTTCAGCTGGCTGGACCAAGCATTCCCTTGCATGTCCACTCTAGGAAAACAAGGAATGCTGTACTTGACTGCTCTCAGTGGATTATATCCCATAGGCAAGACCTACTGGGAAGTGTGCCAAGACCACTAGTTGTATGTTTGTTTCCTTGACTAAAGTGTTAACTTCACTGACAACAGAGATCTGCTTTTTTCCTTGCTGACCTGCATCTGAATCAAGCCCTGACACTCTGGTAACACCTCTCTCCCATCATGGATATGAGATCATATTATGGATGTATGATCTGTATGCTTTCAGGTGTTACTGTTGCTGCAGGTTTCTCGTGGCTTTTGGCTAGAACAAGAAACTTATATTGATTTATGTTGTTTTTAAGTATTGTAAGCCCCTTTGAATCTCAACTTGGAAAAAAGACAGCATACTACTACTACTACTACTACTACTAATAATAATAATAATAAGGCGACTCCAAGACTTCCCTGTAGTTTTGCTCTTGCAAAACGGAAACCTTTCTTGGTTCCAAGGCAAGCAGGTGAGCTGGCTGCAATTAGCTGGAAAGGAATGCTGGCAACTTGCCTAGCTTTGGTTCTAGGCAAACTGGCCTTTGGTGGCAGATTGGGATTTAATTGAAACAGTACTTAAAAATTCCCAATATTTATATGCAGCTAAAGGCTCCTGGAACAAATTTGTGAGAGAGGCTTTTTTTCATTCTGATATATATAACCCCTTTACTAGGAACCCCCCTCCCCAAAAGAAAGCCATCTTAAGTTACTATGTGGCTTATGTTGAGCTTGTCATAGCACAAGTATCTAAAAATATACTATGAATATCTTATTTCTCCCTTCTTGAGCAACAGCCTTCTGGGCTAATACAGAGTCAGCTTGAAGTTCCTTCTGTTTTTTTAATGGGGCAGCAGAAGCTTGTTGCAAAATTTATGGAAATCTGCAATTGAGCTCAGTGGCTTTTATGCCATTTTTACATCTTTGTCTGCGGAGACTCCTTCCTGTTAACTCTACTTGCCCAAAGGGAGAGGGTGGGGAATGACGCAACGGCAGCATCTAGAGGGAGTTTTAAGCCTGAAACGGACTTGTGAACTGAACCGGAATCACCATTAAGCAAAGTGATGTGGTGCCATTTTGTGTGCTGTGCGAAAGAACTGGCACACGGGAGGCAGGATTCATCTGGAAGTTGGAAGCCATCGTGTTTGTTCTGTATCTCCTATTGGTTTCAGGGCTTATCCACACCTCCGTTTGCCCGGCCACTTTCCCCCAGGAAAACCCGCTCTTTAGCACTGCATCGGAACAAAGGGCAATTGAGTTTTCTGCAGATTGCTGTTTGTTCTGATCTATCACCAAAGAGCAAGTTTCTGGGGGGAAACCGCAGGACAAAGGCAAAAACGCCATGCCTAGAAAGTGCAGGATTAGCAGAAACCCAATTGGACCCATGCTGTCTAGGCACGGGACAAACAGAAGTGTGGAAGAGCCATCAATTGGGCTTGCATGGGGAAACTTAAGAAAAGCCTGACTGCTGGATCAGACCAAAGGCCTATCTGGGCCACATTCATAGCTTCCCCCAAATAATTCTGGGAGCTGTAGCCTGTTGAAGGAGCTAAGAGTTGTTAGGTGGTCCCTCTTCCCCACATAGAGCCTCAGTTCTCAGAGCTCCCCAGGAAGAGGGATTGATTGTTAAACAGCTCTGGAAATATATTATAGCTCCCAGAATCCTTTGGGAAAGCCAAGACTGTTTGAAGTGGTATCATAGTTCTCTCAATGCACGGTGTGAATCTGGCCATAGGCCTAGCATTCTGTTTTCCACAGTGGCCAAGCAGATGTGGCTTTGCAAGCAGGAGCTCCCAGGTTCAGCACCCAGCACCTCTGAGTAGGTCAGGGAAAGACTCCTGTCTCAAGCTCTTGAGTGCTGCTGCCCCAGCTAGATGGACCAAGAGCCAGGAAGCTGCCTAATGTGGGTCAATGTCCTTCTGTTCCTGACCCACAAAGGACTGAAGTCCCATCTTAGTTTTCTGCCTCACTTCCTCATTGCCCGGGTGGAGTTTATTAACATCGCTATTTATTCTTGCTATTGTTCCAACCTTTCTTTTTGAAGTTTCTGGCTGATGGATGGATTGAGTCCTCATTAATCTCGCTCTTCATGTTGGTTTTGATTTGCTCTTTCTTCCTTTTCTCCCCCTCTGCCTCTCATTTGCGTTTGGGGATCCCTCCCGCGGCACCTCCACCCGCCACTTCCCTCCGTGCTCCGAGGTCCCACAAACTCCTCCTCTGTACTTCTCCACTGCTGGCGTGCTGCCAAAGCCCACTCGGAGGTCATCTTGATGCAGATGGGAGCTGGGTTTAAATAAGGACTGGGTAATTTTATGACCATTAGCAGCGTTTGCTGCAACGCAGGCTTGGAATAATAAGGGCAATTGCTTCTCATGCTTCAAGGAGCAAGCTGATTGCCTGCAGGGACTGAGAAGGCGACTCAACGCCACCACTCCCCACTCCCTTCCCCAACTTTGCTCAGTTAGCTCAGTTGGACTGGCTGCCGGCATCTCCTGAAGCGTCCGCTCGCCAGCTGTGCAGAGACCTCTTTCGTTCCAGTGGGGTGCTGCATGCAGGAGAACCCAGAGCTTGTGCTGCATGGAGCAAGTTGGCCCGCTTGTCATGGTGGCTGCTGATCACGGTGGCCATATGTTACGCCCAGGTCTCTGAATACCAATTGCTGGAGGTCACAATCGGGAGAGGGGGTTTTGTGCTCATGCTCAGCTTGTGGCCTTCCAGAGGCATCTGGCTGGCCGCTATGAACAGACTGCCAAGCAAGATAGTCCTTTGGACTGATCCAGTGGCCAGACTCTTCTGACACTCTTCTCCCATGACCTGTGATTTGCACTAGATCACCGCAGGTTTCTGATGTCCTGCACCAAATGAAATTGCACGTGTATTATTATTATTATTATTATTATTATTATTAAACAACTGCAATTGCATTTGCTGCCATGACTTGTTTTGCTAAGCAGTCATGCCACTTCTGTAAAATTCAAGTATTAATTGGTCGCCTTTGACCCGGTTTTTCTGCAGCTCTGCTAGACAGCTTTTGTCCAGTATAGTATAGATCCCTGATTTATACTAGTACAGTGGTACCTCAGGTTACAGACGCTTCAGGTTACAGACTCCGCTAACCCAGAAATAGTACCTTGGGTTAAGAACTTTGCTTCAGGATAAGAACAGAAATCGTGTGGTGGCGGCAGTGGGAGGCCCCATTAGCTATAGTGGTGCTTCAGGTTAAGAACGGACGTCCAGAACGAATGAAGTTCTTAACCCGAGGTACCACTGTAGCTCAGTTGTAGATTTATGTTTGCATAGGCAGCAGGATGCAATTGCTGATTGGCTCCACCCACTGCACCACCATTCTACATTACTATTTTGCACCACACATTGAAAACACACGACTTCCACAAAGAATCCCGGGAACTGTAGTGCTGGGAATTATATATCTCTGGTTGGTAAACTATGTTTCCCAGGATTCTTTGGGGGAACTCTTACACTTTGAATCCATGCCGTGTTGGAAGGGACCCAGGGGATCATCTAGCCAAACCCCTGCAAAGCAGGACTATGCAGTTGTCCCATAGGAGGATCGAACCTGCAACCTTGGGGCCACATTATCAGCACCACACTCTAACCAGCTGAGCTACCCAGGCTGATTATGTTCTTTAACACAGTTGCCTTCCACTGTTGTACTTTTAAATGACAGCTCCACTTTCTGGGATGACTGGGACTTCTTTGTCTCAGAAAGCTGGGAAGGGAAAGGGGGGGCAGGAATAAAATAAAATAAAATTTTATTGTCAGATACTTGGGAGCAAGCGGGGTTGATAAACGATCCCCAGATAACATCTTTCTCTGTCTCTCCTGTGTGGATTTAATATAAACCCGCACTTACATTTATGTCATATCCACTCCATTCCAGCTGCCAGGTGGGGATTGAAATAAAATTATTCATTGTGGAGCCAAGTGTCCCCACTGTGGGATAAGCTGTGACCTGATCTAAATGCCAGGGGCCCCAGAGCAGCCACTGCCCAGCCTGTGCCCTCCCAGGCATCCGGTTTACAGATTCCTTCTCCAATTAAGCCTCCTGGCTTTGCCGTTTGGCTCTTGGAGGGCAGAGTATCGAGCTGCCACTGTTTGTTAGTTAACAACCCTGAGGTGGTGTTTGGAGAGGATTATAGCTCTAACAAATCACTCGTTAACTACGCTAACTCATTAGAATATGCCACATACAAAATAGTTCTTAAGCGTGCTAATGACCGATTTTAAGGGATTATTGCCGTGGTAAACCATAATTAAAAGTTTATAACGGTGCTTCCTATTTAATTATACTCAAGCCATGCTGCAGGGAAGGCTGGGCAGGGGTTAGCGCAGGCTCAGCGCCCTCAGCCCAGGTGCCTGCATTGGGGTGGGCAGCCAGCCAGCCTGCAGCAAGGGATCTGCGCAGGTGAGGATGGCTCTGTCAGCGACGGGGATAGACCAACTGAAATGTCAAATGCAGCATTTTTCACCTGTTGTTGTTGTTGTTTAATTTTAGTTAATCGGGAGAGTATCGCACCCTGAGGTACTCACACACCAAGGAGTGGCGCGATGACAATTCCCCCCCAAGCGCCACCCTCTGTCCCCGACCAGAGAGAAACGAGCGCAGCCATTGAAGGATCCCCACATCGGCAAGGCGGTGGTCCAGAAGTTCGTGATCGACCATGTCGAAAGCTGCTGACAGATCTAGAAGAATCAGCAGCCCCGACCCGCCTCGATCCAGCTGTCTACGAAGATCATCTGTTAGGGCGACCAGAGCCGTCTCGGTCCCATGACCAGCGCGGAAGCCGGACTGGAATGGATCCAGAGCCAATGTTTCATCCAGAAACCCACCAAGCTGTTCAGCAACAGCTCTCTCAATCACCTTACCCAGGAACGGAAGATTCAAAACCGGGCGGTAATTGGATAGATCTAAAGGATCTAATGATGTTTTCTTTAAGAGCGGGCGCACCACTGCCTCCTTCAGTTCCCCTGGGAATGTCCCCATGCCAGATTTGATTGAAAATCAAACTAGTGCATACCAAACCCCCCAGATCTATAGATTCAGCCCAACACAATCTCACACTCTATACAGCTTGCCTTTGGAAAGATAAAAAGAAAAGGGAAATCAAAATAAAATGCCGAAAAAGGCAACGGAGGGCTCACAAACAAGGCTTACTGATATACTAAGTAGGTTCAAGTTCGAATTTCAGATTGTCATAAAAGAAATGTCTATCCATGCCAGTTTTCCATTTTGCTGGTATTATTTGTAAAAGCCATGTAGCTCTGTACTCTTACATGCTTAAAAATGTGTATATTTGTGTGCATTGCAGTGAGCTCCTGGTTAGAAGGTGAAACAACCAGGCTTCAGCTCACTGGTTTTGAAAAGTTAAGAAAGTATTTGCTTTTTGATCCCATATATAGTGGAGTGTCAGGGCTAGTTCAGCTGCAGAAACGAGCAGTAAAGTTGATTCTTTATTCAAGGAAACAGATTACAAACAGAGAAACCCACAGGCAAGTCTGGCCCCAGTAAAGCAGTTGCCAGAACTGACAATCTGTGCCTCATACTTCCCTCTAAGTCTCCTCCCCGGCCAGTTGTTTTCTCAGTGGTCTTAAACTCTATTAGAGAGGGGTCCCTTGTGCCTTTTGTGCTCCTTGTTCCGCTACATGCAAGACCCTCCAGGCCCTTGGAGACAAGGGAGGAGGGAAGCTGAATACAGCAGGACCAGCAGGCTGCTGCAAATCCGTTGCAGCCTCAGTCCCCACCTCCTCCTCAGCTGCCTGTCCTGCATCTGCAGTGCTTTCTGCCTCTTCCTCTCTGTCACTCAAGCCTGTTGCTTCTTCAGCATCCCACCATTCTGTCCCTCCTTCCTCCTCTGACCTTTCTTCTGTGCCCCACAACCAGTCCCCTGGCTCTGAGGCTTCCTCTTCCGAGGCTTCTCTCGGTGGTTCTCCAGCTGGAGCCCTCCCCCCCCCTCACCGTCCAGCCATTCCTTGACATGGAGATATATTTTTTGTATCTTAACCTTCTTATTTAAGCTAGCCCTTGTTCCTTCCCCTTGTGGGCAGTCTTGTCAGATTGTCAGCATTTTTCACTTGTGATTTAAGAATGGGATGGGAGGCCCATGGAGACTAGTTCCCTGTAGTCTTCCGACCGGAGAGGCTGGGAAATAAACTATAGACTTCCTACAAGCCATGCATGCACTCTGCCACCTAAGGTACCCTTTCCCATGACAGGGGAAGCTGCTGCCGGAGGTGGATTTAAGGCAGCGTGGCATAGAGGGCATCGCTAGGCACTGTGACTATGACATAGCGAATTGAGCAGAATGGAAGGTGAGAGGTGGAGGGGATGCCAGATTTTGGCCTCCCACAGGCCGCTGCTGAAATTTGAAAGACTAAAGTTTGCCCTGCTGCTGGCTGATACTGAGCAGGGGGGGGGGGGTTGGGCTTGATGCTCACCCCATTCCCACCCCCAATTCTGTAGGGCCTTTGTCTATCTCGCCCAGCCCCATTTCACCTGCAGAACTTCCTGAAGCAATTAAATCTTTAAATACCAATAAATCCCCAGGCCCTGACAGGTTTGCTAGTAATTTTCACAAACAATAGTGCATGGATTATTTAATGTTATATTAGACAGACTTCCCCCATACCCGGTACTTGGAGACATTCAAAAATTACAAGCTTTTGTAAGCCACCCAGAAACCCAGGAGAAGTGGGAAATTATAGACCCATTTTGTTTCTTAACCAAGTCTATAAGCTCTTTTCTTTAGGCCTGGTTAACAGGCTGAAATTGCATGTCCGTGAATATTCCCAACCTCATTGCCACCTGCATTCCTTTAGCTGAAGAGGCTGATTAATGAGGGTCACCAGTGAGCGATGACCCCTTGCGCAAAGAGCAAAGGTCAGAGCTGGATTATCCTAGCACAAGTCTACACAGCCTGTTGCCCACCAAGCCAACTGCTTCTCACCGGCTGTACGTTTTGTTCTGCCATTGCCCCTGCTCCTGCAGACAAGGCAGCGGAGAATAAGAAGGGGGCATATTGAGCCAGCCTTCAATGCCTTGGTTGGGTTGGTGGGTCATGAGAGGTGGCCAGTGAGCAAAGGAGGAGCCACGGCCTCTTGCTCGTTGGCTCTCTACCTGGCAAGCAAGCAGGATGCATCAAGGACAACGCTTGAGGAGGAAGAGGCACAGCTGGCAGCGGGAGCATTGAACAGGGTAAGATCACTGGTATGGGGCTCATTGAGGATGTCTTATTTATTACTTATCTGCGCCATCTTTGCTCTTTTTTGTAAGTATCTTTTTCCAATATCATTCCAATAACAGCCTCATTATAACAATGCCAATTTTACCCAATTAATACAATTATTAAAACCAATTATCTACTGCATTTTTGGTCCCATCTTTCTTCCAAGGAGCTAGATCTCCTCCCCATTTAATCCCCACAACAACCCTGTGAGGTGGGATAGGCTGAGAGCGAGTGACTGACCAGGGTCATCCCAGCAAGCTTTAGCGATGGCTGAGTGGGGATTTGAATCCTGGTCTCCCAGGTTGTAGTCAGATACTCTCAACATTATGCCCAAGCCCCTCTCCCCCCAAAAAAACCCTGGATCAGTGCTGATGTCACCGAGTGCCAGTTGTTGAGGAGTGAAACTGCAGGAAAAGGTCATTTCCTTTTTAAAATCTTAAAAATCTAAACCACGCTTATTGCGTATTTGCTCAACACCTTGACATATCACCAGTATACTCCGAAACAGCTTCCAGGGCCTTCCTTCTGACCTTTTGATACGGAGCTTGCTGATTCCAATATGGCATTAATTTCCCTTCTTGTTCCACCGATTCCTTTTTTTGGCATGCACTCTTCCTAAAGACTTTTGCACCAGTATTCATTGTTATGCATCCACTTTCATACTCTCTAAGAGATGGAAGGTTCCCCCCGCCCTAGTTTCCCCATTTATAATCCCCACCATGTTTTAAAAACTGAGCTGAAATCAAGCCATTCAGTCTACCAAGTTAGCAATTCGTGTCTTTTGGCTTTTCCTGTTTCCACCCACCTTAATTTTCTGGCATTCACAACAAATATGCAGAATCTTGTGAACATTTTTGTATTGTCTTCATGCCCTTGCCGGGGGGGGGGCAGAGATCTGTGGGGAGCATGGGGCTGGACTCGAGGAATCTTTAGTCTTATTCCACCAGGATTCTTATGTTCCATTAGAGGGTGATCTTTCTCCCTGGTCCCATTTGATGGGAGGTGGGGTAGAATTTGAGGGAGTGGAGGCCTGAGGGCAGCAGGGAGACCTTTTTTGATTGTTTGTTTAAATGGAAGTTAAGTTGCTCGGACATTTCTGAAGAAAGTTAGAGCAAAGAAACCAGAGGCAGCTCTAGAGCTTTGGTACTCAGCAAGTAGCGCCATTGCTAGGGATGCTTAATCACTGTTGCTAAGCAACCAGAGGAAAGAATGTTGACACCCCCACTTCAAAGGGGGGGGGGCTCCCAGAGCAGCTCATCCCTGGCATTTGACCCACAGTCCTTTCTGAAATGCCGAGACTGTTCTGGCGCAACAGTGATGGGACCAAATCCTGCAGGATCTCCAGCTTTGCACAGGCCTAGATTATGTTGTTTTGAATCCCAGATAAAAAA